CTTCTAGACAGGAGAACGAATCCTGACAAATTGAAAAATACAATGTGTTATAAATTGAATAAAAAAAATACAAAATAGGAAAAGGGTATTGTATACAATACAAATCCTTTGTATAACGTGTTTTGCGATTAAGCTGCATAACCCTAAAGCATGCCATCTGTCCTATGTCAGAGATTTTTGAAATCTCATGAGTGTGTGTTTTTGGACCATTGTGCAGTTGAGGGTATGTTATGACTGCCTCTGGCATGTGATTAAACATGTTATTTAAAGTGGCACTGTGATATGTCATATTGATATGAGATACTTTCATGTCTAAAATGTTTCACACCTATCTATATTCTATTTATATTATGTCTTGACTATATTGAGACCTATTTATATGTGAGTTAACTAACCTATACTTACTAACAAGCTGCATTTGCGCTATTTTTTGAAACATCTGCCAAATTGATTAGCCTGAACTCTAAACAAGTAAAAAAAAATGATTTCTATACTTCAAGAAAAGGTAGTTATATATCACTTGTCAAAACTTAAACCCAAGCCAACATTTACCTAATAGCAATACACATTTACAAGAATCTTCCATTAGAGAGAAAAAAAAAAAAAGAACTAATCAAAGTTTTTCCTTCTTGAATTTAAGGAAAAAATGATTCGTATAAGCTACATGCAATTATTTTTTCCCATTTGGTGATCGTACCTTGCCAATCCAAAACATAGGATCTTGAGTTTGCCTTTCAAGTTGGTTGTCCCCATCTGTTATTTCAATGCTTGGAAATTCTGAGGCAAATGTCTTCACCTTGTCACATTGTTCCACAATCATTCTTTTCAACAATGGCCATTTTGTGATGTGGATTTTAGGGAAGAAACTCGTGAAATTGGGTAGACGACCAAGTTCCAAGTATGTTACTCGAGGAAATACAAGCCGAGTGACTTCTGTTTCCACCAACTTTGATTGTGCGGCTGCAACTACTTGTGATCCACTACCACTGAGTCCTTGAGCTTCATATACTTCTCCAAAAGAATTGCAATTGGAGCAAAATCTTATGAGTTGCGGAAGGCCAACGAGCTGTAAGTTGTCTAGTTTGGGAAACATTATCTGGCTTGTCTTTTCTTTTTCTACCAATTCTTCTATCAGTATTACCACTTGCATCTCCTTACATCTTGAAATCTGGAGTGCTTCAAGTTGCTCAAAACTTTCAACCATCGATGATGTGAAGAGATATTCCAAATTATTACAGCACCGCACTGTCAATTTCCTCAAGTTTTGAACAAATGAGGACATTAATGTAACTTGGCTATGCCATATTTTCTGTACACAAATGAAGTCCAGATACAAGTCATCCAAGAGAGGAATGCCAACCTGCACATTAAGAAGGTCCAATTTCATTAAAACCATTATTTTTTAATCAAAGAAAACAGAGCAAGAGTGATGTTTGAGAAGAGGGGGAAATTATAGTCTGCGAGTAATAATAATAATTAAACTTGTGTTAAATGTTAAATTTGTGAAGAAAAAATTGGCTGTATCATAGAATAAAGCTTAACCTGATTTTGTGAGTGGAACAATAAATGGGAATCCACGTGGTAGAGGGACTTGGATTTAGACTGCCTACCCTATGTTTTTCTTTATGGCCAAACGAAAATTGCAGTACATTTTCTCTTTTTTTTTTTTT